GAGACGGAGTTTCGCTCTTGTTACCCAGGCTGGAGTGCAATGGCGCGATCTCGGCTCACCGCAACCTCCGCCTCCTGGGTTCAGGCAATTCTCCTGCCTCAGCCTCCTGAGTATCTGGGAATACAGGCGTGCACTACGATGCCCAGCTAATTTTTGTATTTTTAGTAGAGACGGGGTTTCACCATGTTGACCAGGATGGTCTTGATATCTTGACCTTGTGATCCACCCGCTTCGGCCTCCCAAAGTGCTGGGATTACAGGCGTAAGCCACCGCGCCCGGCCTCTGTTCTCCATTTATAAAACAAGAGTGTCGTAGGGTGCAAATCCAGCTCCCACCACCCAAATGACAGAGAGACGTGGGCAGGGTAGGACATGCAGGGTGGAGGGACTCACAGTGCGGCCTCAGACAGCTGCTCCTTGGTGAGGTTCAAGGGGTGGTTGAGTGTGATGATGCTGTGGGCATGGCGGGCCGGGCCTGGGGGCAGGTGGGCATGTAGGAGTGCGTTGTTTGCTCGGTTGACAAAGGCCACCATGGAGTGCCAGCCTTTGTTGTTGAACCAGATCTGGGTGGGGTCAAAGCCACAGGGTCAGGGCAACGGGGTTGGACTTTGCTGTGACCAGAGACCCACCTGACACCCCCAGTTCCCACCTTGAGGCTGTCCTGAGCATCCAGGCTACGAGCCCAGGCTGTGAGGTTGTTCAGGACACGGTCGAAGGCCCCGCCAGGCAGGGGGCTCAGCAGTGCCCACAACTCCTCCACTGAGCGGCTCAACTCTTGGCCCGAGGGCAGGCCTGGGTCTCGGCCCCCCAGAGAGAAGCCTCCATACCTGTGGGGCCGTGCAGGCAGTGAGGGGCAGCTGAGGGCCAGGGGGCCGGGGGAGCTCCCAGGGGGCAGGCAGAGGGCATGGGAGTGAAACCGGGGCAAGGGACCCAAGCGAGCCCCTCCTCACCTGACCTCATTCACCCACTTCTTAGTCTTCAGGCTGTGGGAGAGACAGAGACACAGGCAGAGGCAGGCATGTGGGACGGAGAGGGACGGCGAGAGGTGCCCGCCGACTCAAGGGTGCCACGAAAAAGGGGAAGGAGGCGGCGCGGTGGCTCCCGCCTGTGATCCCAATATTTTGGGAGGCCGAGGAGGGAGGTTCACCTGAGGTCAGGAGATTGAGACCCGCCTGGCAACATGGCGACATCCCGTCTCTACTAAAAATACAAAAATTAGCCAGGTACACTGGCACACGCCTGTAGTCCCAGCTGCTTGGGAGGTTGAGGCATGAGAATTGAACCTGGGCCGGGCGCGGTGGCTCACGCCTGTAATCCCAGCACTTTGGGAGGCCGAGGCAGGTGGATCACGAGGTCGAGAGATCGAGACCATCCTGGTCAACATGGTGAAACCCCGTCTCTAC